GACCAGCATAAACCAGCAAAGGACCAGCATAAACCAGCAAAGGACCAGTTTAAACCAGCAAACGACCAGCTTAAACCAGCATCCCAGTGTCAAAACATACCTAACCAGCATATGCTGGTTTTTTCAACAGGGTATACCCATACAAAAACTGTTTAATGTGCACCTCTCTCATAATAAAGCATATGAAGTAAAGTGAACACACAGCAAGACGCTTATATTTACTTATTTATATTTATGTTTGGACTTTTACATAATTCTGTAAATGTATAATGCAGCGAAATATTTTGATCAATTAATTTATTTAATATAAATTAAGATTTTATCCCCCATCAGTGCAGATGGTGGCGTTGTGCGCGTTTAGCTGGTTAATCTGGTTAAAGAAGTTTACTCCAGCACAGGAGGGGGCGCTATGCGCTTAATTGGTGTTGGTTTGCAACACACAGAAGAATCAGACGTTGGAGACGCACGCAGAGAAATTGAGCTCACCACCTGATATTCTGTCTTTTAGCAGTTCTGATATCATGCTGGCCTTTTAAGTTGACGGACGTATTGCTTGTCGAAACCTCTGATTTCCTCAATAACATCAGGGAAAAGAGCGAAATCAGCCGCTTTCACAGTTCGCCAGGACACGTGGTTAAACACGTGGTCAGGTCAAGCTCTCTTCAGGAAACATTAAGGTTTGCTCGGTGTCTTCTCTCGTCTTGTTATGCATCATGTGTGTGTTTTGCTTACACATTAATATGAACAATAGGGTTATTTTCTGTGGTTCTAGATACCAGCATCAGCCTAAAACATTAGAGTATCGTTCAAGTGCTTAATATGAACAACATGTCTATCATTTCTGGTTTGTGTTCCTCACAGTGAAGCTGAGCTCAACTATGGCTGCTGATGAAGAGGAGCTTTCCATTAATGAGCAAGCCATCAGTGCCAGTGAAGATGAGGTGAGGCAGATGAGCTCTCAGGCCTTTATTTATTCCAGATAAATTAACTGATTAGTAGAGTATTTTATGAACTGAGCTGGCTGTGTGCAATATGGGAAATATACAACATAAAACCCAACATCTGTGAGGCTTCAGGACTGTTTTCACAACCCCTGATCTACAGAAATAAACATTAAAGAATGGAATAAGAGTCTTAACAAGCCAAACCGTCACTCATTTACTAAAAAAATATATATATATATATATATATACTTTTTAACCACAAAAATATGAAAAACTTAAAAAAAAAAAAAAACCTTTTTGTGCTAGTAGCTTGTCTTAGACTGTATGTCTGATTCACACAACATCGGTTTTATGCACCATCTCAAGATACTAGACAAAAAGTTATCAAAAGAATCGTAGGCTGATGATAGCCAATTGGCCTGTATCTTGTGAATGCAATGCCCAAACTTCACGAAAGTTAGTGCACTTGGACAACAGGTCATTCTGAGGAAATGTGCCAAATTTCATGAATTTCTGATGATCAGTGGGGCTTGCAGCAAATTCTGTGAATAACAGACAAGGAGCTGTAATACCGAAGATGTCCACAAGAGGATGTTACATCTAATCTTACTCCTTCAGTTTCATCAAACCCTAACTTATCTATAAATGGAGCTAGACGACTGTTGACTTTGCAGTAAAAACTCATATTTGGACAGATGCATCACCTAATTGTTCACATGAGCTGTTGGTGCTTGTGCCCCGAGGTCTTAGACATTTGAACAACATTTTACCTGTGCCAGATTAAGCCAAAATGTGTATAGATATAGATATAATTTTATTTTGCCTTTTTTTCCCTTTTAAATACAGGAGGGCAGTGATGATGAGAGAAAACACAAGAAGCTACTGGAAGCCATCAGTTCTATGGGTTCAAGAAAGAGGTGCGAGACATTTGAGATTGATCTTTTTAGTACTAGTCCACCTACATGAAAGTGCTTGACTGAAAACTGGAATGTTTGGAAGATGAAATAAGTACTTCTTAAATAACCTAAGTATTTAATAAGTTATTCTATTTAAACCATGGTCTGTCTGAATGCGTGATTCTGACTGGCTAGACTGAGTGCGTTCACACCGTTGAATGATAACAGAGTTTAATCACTGTTCCTTCATTGAGACGACTGCACACACAAAGAAACATTCAGTAACACAGATGATACTTGTTTTTATTACAGTAAATGTAACTTCATTTACCACACTACTCTTAAGAATTCTAAATTTAACTACGTGTAAATAAAGTAACTAATGAAATTAACCATCATTTTTATTTGTCCAGTCAAATTTTGCACTGCGAACACCAGTGACGGCTTTAAGTTGTCCATGCTGGCATGCTGGCAAGTTAAAATGCATAATTGTATATTGCTCTCTTTCTGCCAAAAATTGTCAGTTGTCATAATTTTGATGAATCCCAACTTTTTAGTGTCATGCAAAATGAAAAGCTCTAAAATCGAGTATGTTTAGACTTGGTTTCCAAATTAAGTCCCTTTTGCAATGAATCTCTTTTCAGCAGAGTCAGAAAAAAAATAATAATGTTGTGCAAATCAGCTTTTTAATCAGTTGATGCTTGTTTATCCAAGGAAAAAGCAGAATGAGCGTTCTGAAGCAAGCGTGCAGGTCTCCGAGTTCTTCGTCAATGCAGAGGGTAAATGCAGAATTTATTCACATTATGTCCTTGACTGAGACGGAGCATCAGTCGTAAGTTTTCTTTATTCTATTTGTACAGGTACAGGAGAGAAAGTCAACCTCTCTGACCTCCTGGGAACTGTGGAGAAGACCTCAGGAGCCTCCAACAAGACCAAGAAACAGCTGAGGAACCTGCAAAGCAGTAAAGAGACTTTGGAGCTGCCTCTCAACAAGCAGCAAACGGAGAAGGTGAATGCTGAAACCAAGAGGCTACAAAACCCGTGCTTTTAAATTAGTTGCAATGAATGGCATCAGGGATATTATTTCAATTGTGCAGTCCATATAAACATTAAATTCATGTCAAAAGCACCTAGCAATCAGAATGGGATCAGTGACGTTTCATTTTAATAATCACTTGGAGAAACGTCGTTTACTCTTGGTGCCAAGTTAGGTTGCTCACACAATTTAATGTGAAAGTCTCTTTTATTCTGCTGACACACTTGAGCCAAGATTCAGTTTGAGTTTTTACTAAAAATAGATCCTAAACATATTTTGCTGTCCTATTTATCTGAACTTGAATATTAATGAATGCATTAAAAAGCTGATTAACACCGTTTAAGTCTCAAAGTAGTGTGGGCTTTGAGATTTCAACCTGTGAATAACTTTTGCCACAGAAAACAAATTTATGCAGAATTATATACATACGGTCACAAGGTGTAGTTGTTTAAAGTATTAAATCAGGAACCACTTTTCTAAATTCAGCCCATGGTGTTTTAGTCTTAGTTTGTCTCTCTATTATGTCCACAGATTCAGAGAGGCATCGCGTATGAGAAGACCGCTGCAGAGGTGTCATGCTGGCGGAACATCATATTGCAGAACCAGAAGGCCGAACAAATGGTGTTTCCTCTGAACCAGGAGTCCCCGGGACCTAAACGGGTCGAGCAGGTTGTGGCTGGATGGAAGGTGTGCTTTGTTTTTGTTTTGTTTCTGAAGGGCTCTGTTTGTCATTTTCTTGCGGTGCGTGATTAGATGTTATAACTAGACCGTTGAATATTTTCCTTTACCAAAGCCCTTTACAACACTTTTGCATGTAATAAGCTATATGTTGCAGATTTTTCAAAATCAAATTTTTTTAGCCTAGTCAGAAATCATTACTAGTATCTATGATTCGTTGATGCTCCACGGCCTGCATTTTGCTGCTGGATTGCATGTTTTTTTCTCAGTTTATAGAATTATAGTAGTTTAGTTACACAATGATGGTTAAGTCGCTAAAATTATTGTTGAAATATTAATGGGGTTCAGGCATACGTTAAACTGCACTTTACCTTTATTCACTCCATCTTCAATATACATTTTATCAGGGCTCACAAAATCGCTAGCCTGACGTCCCGGGGCTATTGTGTTTTCCAGTCGGGCTACCAAAATGTATCAGTGCCGTGCCCGACGGGCTACCTTGAATAGTGATATAAAATCACACACACAAAATTATCTCAAAATAACGGTCTCGGCAAGTATTCTCGTGAGCACAGTCGGTTATGTCTTAAGTGAACGTAAACAGTGGAGAAAGAAATCTCAAGTGCATCATTATATTGGATCCGTGCATTCGGTCTTAAAGGGGCAGGAGCCTATAAATACCTGCTGCTCCATAAGCGCCACCTGCTGTCAGAGAGTGACATTTGCGTCTCATTCACAAAACTAAAAATTTTATTTGTATTATTTAATTATTTGATTTGGGATTTGTTTAAAAAAATTCAAGTTAGTTTTATGATTTGACATATTACAATTTATCATTTTGTTGGAGAAATAATAAAAGGACACCTTTTCATTTATAATTTGTCTTAAGTCTCGTTTTGTTAAAAATAACAATTGTGAGATTGTATTGTGAAATCAGTATCGTGCATCGCATCGTGAGTTGAGTGAATCGTTACATCCCTATATGCTACCAGTTTTTGCTGTGGTATCAAAGAAGTATTCTGTTATTTAAATAATAAAGAACCATTTTTTTTTGCTCATCTGCAAAATGATCCGATCTGTTACTCAAAATCTGATATGATAATGCAATATGATCCGAGCCGTGGGTATTGTGATCCGTTGCACCCCTACTCTCTTGACTTGTTATTTGAAGAAAAAAAAGCGATCACTGAAGTTTTTAATCATGCTAATTTTTTTTCGGGCTACTTAAATTCATTTTGGGCTACCAAAATCTGAAGAATGTCTGCTACCAGCGATTTTGAAATTTTGCGAGCCCTGAAGGGGCATAATATGTCTTAGTCTGTATGAATGGAAATGTAAGGAATGAAGCCAGATTCATACCCATAGGGTAGAATCTTTTGCCTAAAGAGTTCATTCATTTATAAGCTTGAAATATGAGCCCTTGATTAATGATTTCTGCTGATGTGATGAATATTCAAGAGCTCTTACTTGAATATTGTACCTCTGGTGGTGAAAAGCAGTACTTCAGCTTCAGCTGCATAAGCTTGTCACCCAAAAATGAAAATTCTGTCATCATTTCCTCACCCTTATGTTGTATCCTAAAATAAAAGTTTGTTATTCAGTGAGCAACAGGCCAGCAAATTGGATTTTAAAGGCATGGTGCCATAATACCATGTAGACATTTGTAGAGACTAGACAGAAAATGCACTGGAAGACTGAAAAAGCTGCATCTGGTGAACTGTACTTAAAAGGTCACCTCCTTAG